TGATCTTACCCTCTCAAGATCTGTAATCCCATCCTCCTCGTCCTCCTCCTCCACCTCTCCTCCTCCTCCTCCTCCTCCTCCTTCTCCTCCTTCTCCTCCTCCACCTCCTCCTCCTCCTCTTTTTCTTGCTCTCGCTCCTGTTGGTTCCAGCGTGTATTATTTTTAATACCGATGCATATGTAAAAGTATATTTGCATTTTTTAATTCGCGAAAATTTCAGGTTTTGTCATTTTATTGGTTCCCCTTCTCTCCCCCTTTTTTTGGTTTGTTTGTTTTTGGAGGTTTTTATGTTTTTATTTTATTATGTCTCTCTGTCTCTCTTGTCCCTTTCTGTCTTTTTTGGCGAGTGTCTGTTGCTGTCTCTTGCTAGATAATATACACAGTTGTCTCCCTGCTTGTTTATTTAAGGTTACAAATATGCACATCTGTCATGTATGCAATGCCAGCTGTATAACCTCCTGGTTTGGTCATAAAAGACAAGACACATTTTTTTTTTCTTTCCTGACATACCTGGATGGGCTGTAATGTCCATCGCTCAAGGCTCAAAGTTTGATTGTCTAATTAACTTCATATTAGCAAAAACACAGTTCAGGGCCAGTGCTTTCGAGATAATGTATGTGTAAGTGAAGTGATTCCAAAGATTTCTAAAGAATTTTTGTGCTGATTGCCTGAGAGGTGTGGCTTTCCCCGCCCTATTGCTTTCTAGCATTTCTTATTGCAAACATATATATATATATATATATATATATATATATATATATATTTGCAATATGTGTGTGTGTGTGTGTGTGTGTGGACACACAGCAATGGACAGCCTTCTGCAAGGAAGACATTTTCAACCATGTTGTGTGTTGTGCCTTATCGGCTGCATTCAAAATTTACTGTTTCATTTTCATCTTAATATGGCTGGAAACAAGGCACAGTATCTTGGCGGAAAAGCATCCTTGATTCCTGACTTCGAAATGAAAACAAATACACAAATAAAACAGTTGACTATATTAAACCAGTTAATGTGCCTTAAAATATACAGGCCTTGAGTTAGATTTCAAGCAATGGGAATCTTGTTTATAGGATCGGATCTCTTTCTTGGCAATATAGCTATGCAGCACGATAGCTAGTGGAAAATATATATATATATATATATATATATATATATATATATATATATTCCACTTTTTAAATTTCCCCAAAGACATCATTTTAAAAAGACTCAATCTATAATTGCATAGCCTCAAAGAAGAGCAAATATGCACACATGCAGCTTATTCAATTAAACAAGTCCAAGTACATGCACAGGTAATTAGTTTTCTTATGAATGACTTACCTGCACAGATACTCAAGCCAAGACTCAGCCCTCCCCAATGGCTTTCATGTGTAAATATTCACATGTATTCCCCCTTATTTCAAACCTAAAGCTGTATGCCATCTTTCATGCTGGACTATCCAGCATCCATTTTTCAGCGCCCTTAACTCTTATGGCATATCCAGCCTTACCTCTGGCTGTAGTTTTTCCAAACCTACACCAAAGTGCTCATATGATCTGTCACCCAATAAACAGTGGTCAGATGGCTACACGTATAACATTAAAAAACGGAAACACACTCATCCTTCAGGTTCGCCCTTTCCTTGCCATATATAGCAAGATTACATTTCCTAAAATAAATTTTCAGCACATTTTATGAATAATTGCAGGATTCCACAACTGG